TTTTTGTTAGATGGCTCTTTTAGTATTTCATTTTCTATTAAACAACTAGATCATGAGCTTGAGATTTCTATCACGTGTTAGAAAACAGTCCTAAGAATATACACGCACTGATTGGTTAAAAATCATGTTTCTATAACTCGATAGAAACACAGAACTAGCACGAGCTGTTGACGTAATGATGGTGCGAGCAAAGAGAATTTACATTTTGATAATATCAACGTTAACAAGTCGTTTTCTGTTTTTTTTGTTGTTGTTGTTGCAGTGTTTTCTAAAAGGAATAGAAAAGATGTTCTCCGTGTTTCTATCGAATTATAGAAAGACTCGTGAAAGTTTGGGAGAGCTCGAAAAAAGCTGTGGAAACACTCACCTGCAGCTCGTGCTCCCAAACTTCCACTCGTGTTTCTATAGCTCGATAGAAACACGGTACATGGTTTCTATTTCTTAAATAGTTGATGAGGATGCAGCCTGAGTCAACTATCACGCATAGAAATCAAGAGCAAATAATCTAATTGTTTTAGTATAAATCTACTAGTCATTCACAACTTTATCTAAATCCTCTTCACAGACACCTCGAAAACGCCAAGAAGCAGCTCTCGTTTTGTTAACAAGCGCACACTGCTACGCCACTCACTATCTATCATAGAATAGATAGTGAGTAGCATAGCCAATCAGAGAACAGCATTTGTGATAGAACACTAGTAGATTTATACCAATATTGACTACATACACCCATAACTTGCAACAAATTCGCAACTTCATCAAACATGTTCCTACCTGTAAAATACTGTCACTGTCACAGTTTTCACACCATGGTACAAACAGGCCCTTCATGACTTCACCCTGATCTGGTTTAACTTTTATATACTACAAGTAAAATAAACAAATTATTAAGCCTTAAAATAAAAAGGTCTTTACAATTCTCTGACTTTCACACCATATAAATTCCCTATGGTTGGGATACTGTAGGTACAGTAAAGCCAAAACTACATGCATTTATTGATTGAAAGTTCTATNAAATTCAGCTAATTTGGAGCAAAAAAAAAAGAAAAGCAACCAAAATCGTCACTTATCCCCTTTTATGACTAGCTTCTTCATGTATCTCAAAATGACCAAGACATCATCACAATTAAACATGCATGTACAAGGCATGTTTCTCCATTTATTATGAAGGTGTGAAGCTTTCCCATAAGATCTACATGACACTACATAATAGTGAGCTGGCCCACTTTGTCCCAGATTGTTCTTAAGTTTATTTAACAAATGCAATGAAATTGCTAAATTTGCGATCTGCTTGGGAAATTGCCCACAAATATTGCAATGGCCATGGTCAAGCAGATGAGATCTAAGTGGCCAAGTAAAAAGAACAGACACTAACTGTTCACGTGCAATAATCAAATAGCAAGCTCAAGACAGAGGAAAACCTGTGTATCATACCTCATACCCAAATGACACTGCCATCACTGTTATCAAAAATGCAAAGAATGCTTCCAGCTTTCTAAGACCTGACATAAAAAATAATGACAAGTCAACAAGCATAACATACAAACACAATAGGCCCTGTTTGGCGCAAGCCAATTGTATTATTGAAGCAAACATTTGCCAAATGAATGTTTTTAGACAAATCTTTTAGACAAATGATTGACAGACATTTCACTGCTTATCAAGAATTGTTTGAGGCACAGGTACATGCATGTAACAATGTGCAGAGCCAGAATTTTTTAAAGAAGTCACAGGATGGTGGAGGGGGAAGTGTTGTAAATTATTCAATCGGTGAATGACAACTCCACAACAAGGCATGCTAAAACAACTTCAATCAAATTCTAACCGGGAAGGGAGGGAGGGGATGGTGATTTGTAGTTGCAGGCAGATGTCTGGATGTCTACACTGTAGTTTTGGAGTATTTTAGGATTCTTTAGTTCTGCTATTTATAAGACTCTATAGTTTTGCAAATGGGAAAGGTAACTCAAATGACCACACCTTGCACCATTTTAAACAAAATATGGGGAAAAATCTAACTTACACAGTACATGTACTTAGCTCAGTAATTCTTTAAAATTAATCTGACTACATATCAAAGCCTAAAACCCTCTTCCAGATCTTTTTGTGCTTGCCTTTTTCTCCCAGTCAAAAAAGTAGACCATGATGAGAAATAAATACTTTTTCTCAAATATTTTTTTTCGTTCATAAGGAAAACGGTAGCAGCAGGAACTTACCATATTTATCAAGAAACAGGAAAATAAACGTGTCAGTAATTGTGATCAGAACACCACCATACAGAGGTATCCTGTCAAGCAAAGAAGTGTCAAATGTTAGCCACGATGGCATAATTTATGTAGATTATACTGACAGTATCTATATCTGGGGGAAAAACTCCCACATAAAAAGGACGGGGCTGCTTGTTGTACCTTTTAGGGGTTAAAAAAGCGGTTTTTGAACCTCTTGGGGGTTCAGCTTCAAAAAGTCCACAGCGGGAGCTTTTGGAATACCTTTTAGGGTATCAAGCTGAAAAAAATATGACAGGACTGACAGGAGATAATGTGTTGTTTTAGAATTGGTACCACTTAGGGGTGAAAGAGATTTCAAGCCACACCCAAGAAACAGGATCTTGGTGCCTCTTAGGAGTTCTTTTCAAAATTTTTGACGAGCACCCCAGTCCTTTTTATGTGGAGCCCCCCCCGGAATCTCTATGTGTTGCACTTCAGTGTTACACCTGGTACAATGGCCAATTGTCTCTATGGGACGTGCTTGCAGGGAATCATGGTTACCGTAGTTTATTCATCATTCTTGTACTGAATGTTTGTTTTGATGAACACAGCTACCATGATTAAATGCAGGCAAGTCTTGGCCATTTGCTATTTTGCTTTGTTTTGGTGTATGGTAATCTGTTTGTCTTTTGATGGACATAACTACCATGATTCCCTGCAGGCACATCTCATAGAGGCAATTGGCCATTTGCTATTTTGCTTTGTTTTGGTGTATGGTAGTCTGTCTGTGTTTTGATGAACATAGCTACATGTACCATGATTCCCTGCAGGCATTTTTCATAAAGGAAATTGGCCATTTGCTATTTTGCTTTGTTTTGGTGTAGGGTAGTCTGTTTGTCTTTTAATGAACATAACTACCATGATTCCCTACAGGCACGTCTTATAGAGAAAATTGGCCATTTGGTATTTTGCTTTATTTTGGTGTATGGTAGTCTGTCCATAGACCCTCTATTCTGTCTTGAGTTCATCAAGATCACAATTAGCAATTAAGTATAATTGACCACAGGGGATTTGAAAAATTCTGAATGCAAGGGGGTGGCCCCATGGAAAGATAGAATTAGAAGGTCTGTGGATTTCATTTGAGAAACTGAATTCTCCGTTTCTCAAACAAAAATAGCTCAAGCAAAAAAACTTATGTCTGTTGATAGACCACAGGTGACCTGAAAACAAACCACTAAGGAAAATGCTAAATTGTACCTACAGTAGGGTAATACTGAACCACAACACATGCAATTAACTATTTTTGTGATAACTGAAGGAATTCCCACAAACTCTGTCATTGGTCAAAAGCTTTTAGGTAAAGGAGAAGTCTGCGTGTACGAGCCAAGTGGCTCATCAGGCCAGAGCTTATCCCAGTTCCTGTAGCATGAAATGACTAGGAGTACAAGTATTTCTACTGCTAGTCCATCGCAGGGTTACCCCCAGCATTAAGGTTACTTCAAACATTCGCAGATCTGTCAAATTCGACTATCGAAAAATCCGCGTAACCTGTTGCCTTAAAGGTTGCCACGAGGAAAGTATTTAAAATAAAGGAATTCGCCGACATGCTTTTGTTCCATATCTATCAGTGAATGTTCTGACCAAATTCCATGGAAAACCGTCGAATCTGCATACCCTATTAATTAATTTAAAGAGAAGGGATTCTCTTGAAAAACAAGTGTGAGTTTTTGCCTTCTAAAGATTCATAAACATATCACGCCTTCACAGAGGAATGTGTCAACTTGAAAGGCCACGAGCCAATGAAATAACAGAACCCCTAGCGTTCACAGTATGCAAACTTGAGTTTCGCAGACTTTAATTTTCTTGACCAAAACAAAATCGACCAATGTAGCCCCGCGAAGGTTTGAAGTAACCTTAAGTTCGCTGGTACGCATTTATACACCTGGGTGGAGAGAGGCACTGTGAGAGTAAAGTGTCTTGCGCAAAAGCACAACCCAATGTCCCTGCCCAGGGCTCAAACCCAGACCACTCGATCCGGAGATGAGTGCCCTAACCATGAGGCCAACATGCCTACCAAAAGCTATTAATTGGTCAAAGAGAGATTAGACCATAAAAATGATAGATCTTGAGAAATTGTTGTTACTTTGAGCTGTCGACGAATTTAAACTGCCAAGCTATAAAAAGCCAATTGGTATGTTTGAGATGACACTTTCAAGACAATGGTTATTTTAAAAGATGATCCCAAAAAATAGTCAAATGTGCCTTAATGACTCAACACTCATCTACTTTTCCCTCTAACCTGGCAGATAGCAAGCAACAGCGTGTTTCTGGGTATTGACAGCATTTCATGCACAAGAACTATTAAATACTAAATTAAACGTAAATTCCTTTCAATTTCATCTTGCAAACATAACATGCATGTATGTATACTTACTTTCCATCGGACAAAAGATTAAAAGCTATCGCAGTTCCAATGACTTCCTGCAACAAAAAATTGATAAATTACACTATTAATATAAAAATGGAAGTAACTGACAAATATTCGCAATGTACTTGTAATTATTGTAAAAAAAAAAGTGCATCATGTTTATAGTGGCATGATCACTCTTAACACAGTCATACACTTTAGTAGTGCATCAGGTATTATGCACAGCAGAGGAGTACATACATGTACAGTACATACATACATACTTTATTCGTCCCAAAAGGGCTTTTTGGAATAAAGATAGAACTATTAAAAATTAAATTAATTAAAAATTATATGTACAACTCAATTAATTAATTAATAAGAAACTAATTAACATTTATCAAATTCAAGAGTATGGACTTAGAGTAGAACCATATGATCAAGTTTGCCATTGTTTGTTCACCTTAACCAAAAGGTTTTGCATACTATATTAAGTTAATGGACAGTGTTTTTGTTTTTTTTTTTTGTAAGAGGTGCAAGGTGTGTGTACTTTAAGCAATTAATTTTCATTAAAAAAATATCACAATTAAAAGAAATAGAAAACTAAAAGATTCCAATTTTACTTGGACACATATACATATACAGTATGCATTTGCTACCATGTGACTGCCCCACCAGAAAAGAAAAATTGTCACAGAAACTGTGTTTTCCATTTGCATGTGTACATAAATTACATCCAAGTTCAGGAACCACATTTGTTTCTTTGTTTCCAAGATGTTAAATTGCCAGAGCCCACTTTCTAAATTGTAAAGGTTGTGTGTGTGCATGACGAACATTTTGGTAAAGAATGCTTCCACAATGCTTCACTTTATGACAGGGTTTTGTAACATAAAGAATTTATCCTTGCCTAAAAGTATTATACATGTACAGCTTTCCTGGATGGTGCACTAGGCCATATTGTAGGCTACGTGTACCCTAAGCACTTCTTTCTTGGTTTCCTTTACTGTAGGTGATAAATTTCCTCGTACTTGTGTAATCTTTTTGGTCTTAAAGAGTAAGGCCCAAAAAAGATATGTACATTGTACATTGTACAGTTAAGTATATTGCCTGAGAGCAAAATATCCAACAATTCATGCACGATTAATGTACCTGCATGTCACTGCCAATGATTGCAATCTCGACCATGATCCAGAGAATGATGCGCGGTATCTTAGGGTACTTCTCGTGGCAGACCTCCGCAAGATGCATACCTGAAAAAAGTGCCCTTGAACATGAGTTATCCTCAAAGAAACGTAAGAACAAAAGTTTGACAGTGGGAAAGCAAAATTACACAATGATGATATTAAATTACATGTAGTGGCCTAATTGACTGGATTTTGCTCAGAGAAAGACTTACCTGTTACAGTTCCAAGCCTTAGGGACAGTCTCTGGAAAGACGAAAATAATGAGAAGGGGAGAAAGACTGTTAACTTAATGAGATCTGTAAATTTACACATGTAGTGAGCAAAAGGGTGAGTGCACTAATCAGGGATACAGACCTATCAAAGCCAGAAGCTGAACAAAATGCAGTGTACCTGTTATTACAATTATAACAGGAATCATGAGAAGTCTGTAGTGAAGGCTGAGAAATGGGAAAATATACACAGTGCAGCAGTTAGCACTTCTAAAGCCTGGAAGATAGCATTAATTATGGGATAGCAGATGGAGAGTAGATAATTAACTCTGAGGAAATTTAAAGAACTGGAAAACATTCAAGGACTTAGAAGAAAGTCAAAGCTGGGAAAAATACTAATTGCTGTTGCAGAAGTTTAACTGCCTTTGGAGAGAGGTAAAAAAAAGTCTGCATACGAGCCAAGTGGCCCATCAGGNGTCAGTACCCATTTATACACCTGGGTGGAGAGAGGCACTGTGAGAGTAAAGTGTCTTGCCCAAGAACACAACACAATGTCCCCGGCCAGGGCTCGAAAGCGGACCGCTCGATCCGGAGACGAGCGCACTAACCATGAGGCCACCACGTCTCATGCCTTTGGAGAGAGGAAAATGGAAAATTCAGTGAGGTGTTGAAACATTTTCCTTTAACTGTAGTTCTCTGAGGGAGCTACATCCCGTATCTTGCAAGGTCTTACTGTACTTTACCTGCATTAAAAGCCCCATGAATGTTGAACACATAAGGATCCAGAGTAACTATGGGATAAAATCAAAATGATCAGTTCACAAGTTTCCCAATTCAAGTGTGTAGCACATAGTACTTGGGGATAGTCATAAAATACATGTATCTTATCTGTATTCTAAATGACCCCTTGGGAGTGGTCCATGAACTGACATCACTGACTTACCTTTTTTACTTTTTATTTTTGACTGGATTTTTAAATATCACTTGTACAGTAAATGCTTAAATTGCACTTGCATGAATTAGCTTTTATTGAACCTTATTATCTACTGGTTTAACCTTGAACTTTGCCACAGCTCCTGACTGAAGATCTGACTCAATGTTTCCAGGATCAAGGTATGCTATGCTCATCAAGAAGCCAGGACCAGTGAAGGCCCACAAACGACGAAAACTGAATTTGTACTCCTACAATTGAAAATTGATAAAGAATCAAACATACAATGTAAATTAATAAAAAAATAATAATTGAAAATTGAAAATTAACCACAAACAATTCAAAACACTATTCTTTTAGGGTTTATCTGATCAGAGTGATATGAAAGACTACTGATAGCTGTAGAAGCAATATGTCTACAGGTACACTCCCTCCTGGATGGGATGTTATTCCATCACATTTATATCCATGGAGGAGAGAGAAAGGCAGTCTGAGAGTACCTGCAAATTACATGTATGTTTCTCAGAAACAACATAATGACCCTGGTCAGGGCTTGAGCCAGGACTACTGCACCATCCAAACTCCAACATACTGTCCATGTAATAAGCTACCACACCATCCACATGTTAGGACTGAGCATGATGGCGACATTATAATAATACTTAACAATAATATTGATTAATAATAATATAAAATTACTGTAATACAGTTGAACCTCCTCAAACGGCCACCTCTCTACAACCACCACTCTCCTCTGTCCCCAAGGTGGCCGTTGTGGAGAGGTTAGACTGTATTAACAATTGACTTGTGCTTTAGAATCAAGTGATGCATGCAATGAAGTTGAAGAACACAAAAGAAGCCCACTTGAATTCCTTGAGTGCTCTCTAATCTTCCAAAGTGCATCATAACTCAAAGATGCACAGCTTAAGCATGAATCAACTGTTCTATAACACTGCCAATGGAAATGGCACAACAGAATTAACTTTGCTAACACCATCAGTATGCATATTAACTGTATTATGATGCACACTAACCTACAATGAGCTAGATAGTATGGCTTTGCTAACTAAGTATGTCAACTATCAAACAAAATGAAACATATCAGAGTTGCATTAAAAAAGTGATATTAAAATTGATTTAAAAGCAGTTGCCCACTACATGTACATGTAGGACACCATAAAAAAAGTTAAACCTTATTAAAATTTAAATTTAAATTATATGTATAAAGAATTTAATACCCTTACAAAATATCAAGTTACATCATTAAATAGAAACTGGTAAATGTAAGTTAAAATATGCTGCTCTATTTACGTTTTCGTTGGATTTCAACAACAGACTTACATCTTCACCTCGTGGAATGGGGATCCTTTCATCAAAGTATGTGCTTGCTATATCTCTTTTGGGAGCAAATCTCTTTTTTTCGCTGCCGATACTGTCCATTTCTGCACTTAGCTCAAATGAGTTGGAAAAATTTTCTTCAGCTGTTATTAAATGAAATAACAAATGAATTTTTGTTTTTACTAGTAAGGCTGCAGAATTCCAGAAACTTCCTGACTCTAACAATGAAAGTAGGTAAGAAAACTAACTAAAGATAAATCATCAAGAAAACAACAAGACCTGACAAACACAACTTCCCTTCCACTTCAAACCTTCCGCAGTCCCTCCCACCCTTCCACCGTAGAAATGATAGATTGTTCAATATGCCCAAAAAGACTAATATTATACATATTAGTAACACTATCGTCAACATAATAATTTTATTTTATTTCAATACTAGAAAGTGTCACCTGTGGCTTCTGTAATTTAAGTGACATTGATTCAAAGTACATGTAATTAAGCTCACTGTAACACTAAGTTACCAAAACTAATAAATAATAATTATAGTTACTGTAATAATAATTTGTTGTTGCTGTTGTTGTTGTTGATGTGTCTATGGTTCAGACCACAANTTATTAAAGAGAGTGTGTGTGTGGATCTGCTTCACTGCCTCAGTGTATAGGTCAAAACGTTGAACAGTGCAAGCATCATACAGAGTGAAATTAGACATTGTAAGCATCATTAGACAGTGTATGTATCTTGAATACAATTGGATAGCACTAGTATGCATTTTTTTTTTTTCTCACACTAGTTTTTTAAAGATGTACTTGTGAAAAGTTACTTCTTTTCTCATGCTCCTTGGTCGAAAACAAACAAAATCACAAAATTGTTTATTTCTCAAGCAAAGATGCACATAGTGTCATCTAATCATACTCTAATTAAATACACATTATCTTATACTCATCATTCAACAAATTCAACTCCAGCTTTGACACAGTCATCCAATTAAGATGTTAATCAATTGATGTGTACACACATATGATTACAGACCAAATTGCACTTTACTCAGTACTGTTACCATTAAAAATATTAACATGTGACATGATTACATATATTTAAATTTGAATATGTAACCTAAATTCTCAGCATTATCTGACAAAGGATTCGCAAGATCACCCATTCTGATGTACTCAATGGTCGTGTTTCGCATAACGGTCTGTTTGAACATTCCATACGGCTAGATCAATATCAGGCCAGCCACGTCAAAATATACTGAAAAGAAGGTTTACAACTAAAGTTAATACTGTATATAGTTCTAAAATAAACAGTTCAAACTGTAGTTAAGTTATCATTTACAGTTTTGTTACATCTTCGAATTCATGTGCATAATCAACAACTTTTCAGCCTACAAAAACTTACTGCTCGCCACCTAAGCTTAATATACAAATGTAAGTAAGAGTCAATCAGAAATACCATCAGCTAGAAATGGGCAATTGGTTAGGGAAATGAGAAACAACAGCTCACTGCAAATTCCAGTCTTTCAGAACACTCTCAAGTCATACTATTCTTGACTAAAACCTAGGAAAAAGAAGCTTCAAATATGTGCTTCAACAACAAGGTTTGCCAAAAAACGGTACTTGTTCCCCTAATTGAATAACATAATTTATTATATGGCAAGCTCCGCGAGCGGGCAAGATGAATCAAATCCTGCGCTGTAATTGGCTACCCGAGCGGGCAAGATGGGGCTATCTTGCCCGCTCGGGACTACCCGCCGTGTCCCGTAAGAAAAATTTCCCTGAAAGCCATATAATAAATCCTTTATTGACCAAGCTTGTTCGGTCAAGATGGCTGGATATTGGCCTCGTTCTTTTTTTTGCGAGTTTATGGACTTAGACTCCGTCTCGGTCCATAAACTCGCAAAAAAAAGAACTTGGCCAATATCCAGCCATCTTGACCTCACACTTGGTCAATAACCCATATATATAAAACATGCCCAGACGGCAGCCCGTTACGTCACGGATCGGGAACATGCTGAAAAACTGCAAAGTCATAAAAAGCATATATACTGGTAAGACAACTTTTGTTGGTCTTGCTTGCAAGAGATATTATCATTTTATAGTGTTTTAGTTCAACAATCAGTTTCACAACTTAAGGAAGGGAAAAATCAAAGTAAGCTTAATTAAGTATAAAATTCGAAATGACAGCAAAACAAAACGTAACTGGCGATGAAACCCAATTTAAGGCACAAGTCTAGCGGACCTACTCAAGTTATAATCGTGAAAATCACTCGCTTAAACGGAGCAAATCCCGAGTGTGGATATTCTACGAGCAAAAACTGGCCAAACCCTTGACAAACCCAATTTTAATTTGTTTATAAACTTAAGTCGAACCACAGAATCTGACAGAATCTTCGACCGAGTTGGAACCGGCATGAAGACATCATGTCGCGAGAAATAAATAAAGAAAGAAAGAAAGAAATATACACCACGCCAATAAACGACACTACTTTGCAGTAAAACTACCCAATAACGAAACAAACTCATGCTGAAGAAGGAAGAGAAAAAGATGACTTACCGGGAGACGAGACGTCATATTGATCATGTATCAGGCCGCCATGTTGGTACCACATCCACCAATGGCATCACTTCTAATATTAGTCATAAGAAAATGACATTGTTCTAAACTCGCGTTTTATTGGCTTACATCTGCGTACCTCGAAAATATTTTTTCGCCGAAGATTTGCTCATCGAAAAATTAATTACCAGTAGATATCTCTCGAAAGAAAGTTTCTCGCTAAGTTGACAGGCGATCACCATACATCAGCACGTAAAACTTAAAACTTGACTCCTGTGCAGGCATGAAATAAACCCGTGAAAAATTATATATATAGATTTCAAGCAAAATAAATGAGTAATATATAGGTCGTGTGATAGTTTGTTGTGGTAACTGTGCGAGCTACATAAACAAGAAATTGCTCTCCACTTCTGTACAAATTATAACTGGTACAAAGAAAGTGCTGTTGAAGTTTCGTTCGAACGTTCAAGTTCATCGTCGATGAAGATGGATTTTGGACCAAAGTCTAGGATTCTCACGTGACAGTTGCGTAACTTCCTCATGCTAAAGAATTGTAAAATCCATTGTAAAATCTTTCTCCAACCGTACCTTGACTTAACTATTGAAGCGTTTAAATATAAAGTTTTGATGCGTTATGCTTGCACTGTTATAAACTGTCAGAGTGAAACTGTGATGCGTCAAAATCGTTTTATCAAGCAGCCGCACGCGATATAAACGGGCTACTATATACGAAGGTCATATTTTCGTTACGTCGCTTACGTTGCAGTATGTCGAGGAAAGTTTGCATCTGTAAGCCTACGTTATGATATAATGTTGAAGTGAAAACTTCTGGAAATAAATTTTAATTTCTGATACAATACTAGGTGGTCATTTCAGGTTCGGGAATCGCACAGTTGTAGTAGATGAGAGGATTATTTGCATACAGAACGTGTAGCCAGATGGTCTGCTGTGACAATTGAGCTGTCTGTTCCTGAACAGTGCTGCACGAAGCAAGAGTTAATTACTAAATAACTGTCAAATAATCGATATTCATCATACCTTGTGTTGATGCGGGAGGGTTTTCGTTCTCTTCCATCGACTTGTACATGTTTGGATTTACGCTTTCTATCCGTCACACAATCAACGTGAACATATTTGGGAAATTGCGTCACAGCCACACTCGCGTACAAATAAAAGCAAAAGAAATCAATAGATCTATATTATGTTGTCGATTCGCTGGACACGTTCCAAATCTGTAAATCAATAACTTTGAGCATGGACGGAAACGTACGGCGGCGCATTTTATTTTATTTATTTACTTATTTTAATTTGAGCGTTGCGTCCAGGTAACTATACCAAATATGTTGGGCCGAAAACATCCATAATAAGGAAGGTCCATGAGAGGGTTTGGTTTTGGGGGTTGGGGGGGGCGGGGGGTGGTGGGTAGCCTGTTCCATGCAACTTGGGGGGCCAGAGGGGAAGCGAAGGTGGAAGACTTATATACTTATATATTGCCACGGAGAATGCACTTCTCAGAGAATAATGGGAGATCGTAATCGTATCGTATCGTATTGTATCGGGTAGTTACACTCTTTTTTTTGTTTGTTTGTTAGTTTTTCCGGCCGAGGCAGAATATTCTTATTTGTCTGACGATTTTAGGCTGATAATATTCTTGTGAAAAGTCTTAGGTTAAAGTGTATGGAATTACCGTTTTCGAAAGTATTTGGTGTCTGGACGGTATTAAACTGAGCCATTTTGGAGCCAACTGCAGACATTAATTTAAGTCTGATATCACGCGCTTAAAAAAAAAGTCTTGCAGAAATGTTATCAGCATCGAACATACGGCTAGTTTTGCCATACGGCTAGTTTTGCCATCTCGAGAAAGGGAGATTTTGAAGCGGTTAAATGTATTACTCCGCGGGTGTATTTACAAATTTTCAGCTGACACAAAATTATACTCTTTTCAAAATCTCAGCCTCGGGTTAATTCTTAAAATATTCTTAAAATTTTGCAACTTTTCAGCGTTGGCGAGGACTAATTTATGAACTGGTGGCG